TCTAGATCCCACCACTTGCCTGCAAATTTCATGATTTCCTCCTTTTTGATTGCTGAGTAGTATTCCATTGTGTAAAAATACCACAATTTCTGTATCCATTCCTCCGTTGATGGACATCTGGGTTGTTTCCAAGTTCTGGCTATTACAAATAAAGCTGCTACGAACATGATTGAACAAATGTCCTTGTTGTGTACTTGAGCAAATTTTGGGTATATACCTAGGAGTGGTATAGCTGGGTCTATCAATAAATGGGACCTCATGAAACTGAAAAGCTTCTGTAAAGCAAAAGACACTGTCATCAAAACAAATAGACAGCCTACAGATTGGGAAAGAATCTTCACCAACCCTTTATCTGACAGAGGGCTAATATCCAGTATATATAAAGAACTAAAGAAGCAGAAAAGCAACAAACCAAGTAATCCACTTAAAAAATGGGGAACAGAGCTAAACAGAGAATTCTCGAAAGAGGAACATTGAATGCCAGAGAAACACTTAAAGAAATGCTCAACCTCATTAGCCATTAGGGAAATGCAAATCAAAACGACCCTGAGATTTCACCTTACACCCATCAGAATGGCCAAGATGAAAAACTCAAGTGATAGCACATGCTGGAGAGGTTGTGGAGAAAAGGGAACCCTCCTCCATTGCTGGTGGGAATGTAAACTGGTTCAACCACTTTGGAAGTCAATCTGGCGCTTTCTCAACGGAGGAATTAATACAGAAATTGTGGTATGTTTACACAATTGAATATTACTCAGCAATTAAAAACAAGGAAATCATGAAATTTTCGGGCAAATGGTGGGACCTAGAAAACATCATCCCAAGTGAGGTATACCAGAAGCAGAAAGACACACATGGTATATACTCACTTATAAGTGTATACTAGACCTATAAGATAAGATAGCATAAACATACTAAAATCTCTATACCTAAAGAAGCTAAACAAGGAGGACGACCCAGGGTAAGAAGATTAATCCTTACTTAGAAAGACAAATAGGGTGGGCATTGGAAGTAGGAGAAAACAAGAAGCAGGATAGGAGCTACCATAGAGGGCCTCTGAAAGACTCTACATAGCAGTGTATCAAAGCATATGCTGAGACGCATAACCAAACTTTGGACAGAGTGCAGGAAAATTTTATTTTATAATTTTATAATTTTCTATGATTTTAGGATGAAGTTCTTCTTCTATGCCCATGATTCATAAATTTAATCTTTAAAAATGTCCCATGGGTCCTGAATGTTCTGTTTTCACTTTCTTATTTATCTTTTTCATTGTCTGCCATGTCTTTAAATTCTGATATTTTGCTGTCCCCTTGTTCTGCTCTATTATTGATGCTTTCTATGGACCTTTTAATATTGCATCTTCAAATATTCCAGTTCAGTGTGTCTTTATTGAATTTTATTAATAAACTATATTGACTTCTTTGTTTCATTTCGATATTTCCATTCTCCCAGATTTCACTTAGACATTTGTATCCCCTTGGATTTCTGTGGATATAGTTGTTCTTTAGAATTATTTGTCTGAGTGGGATTAGTAATTTTTAGAGGAGTTATGTTTCTATAATTTCACGTTTCTTGTGGTTTTTGTATTGGAGTATGTGCAACTTGGTTTAGGTAATTATTTCATTATTTTAAATAACCTTTATTCTTTCAGTGGAAGTGTTCGTATATGTAAGATAGATTACATTTTAAAAGGATTGATGTGCCATTTTCCTCTTCTAGATTGGTGCCAGTGGTACTAGGCTTAATTTCCAGTATCCATTGTAAATGAAATGTTGTCTGTAATATCAAGTAATAGGCATATTTTGAAAATACAGTAATAATCAAATTAAAAACAAATTACTTCTTTTATTTTTATTTTCTTTTTTATATTAATTGCAGTTTATTTGCTTTGTATCCCAGCTAACAAATTACTTTTTAAATGTCAATACTTGTAGGAAGTAAAGGAATACTGATAGTATTATGTACACTGATATATTAGTTACTGTGGGGGTCCGTAGAAAGGAAAAATATCAGAATAAGACTAGTTCTTATTACTGGATTGACAGATTAAAAAATAGAAGAGTCTCAGGAAAGACCCCTGTGCTCAAAATTTTTGGTTCTGTTGCTCTCCTTGTGGAGCTCCTGTCCTCTCCAGATCTTACTATTTACTGCACAGATGTAGCCCATGACAGTTCAGTGTTCAAGTGGGTTCCATAGTAATGGGAACAGGACTGCCTCTGACATGAACTGATTGGCCTGCTCTTTGATCACTTCCCCCTGAGCGGGGAGCAGCCTTACCAGTCCACAGAGGAAGACAATGCAGCCATTCCTGATGAGATCTGATAGACTAGGATCAGAAGGAAGGAGAGGAGGACCTCCCCTATCAGTGGACTTGGGGAGGGGCATGTGTGGAGGAAGAGGAGGGAAGGTGGGATTGGGAAAGACTAGTTATCCCTCTCTCAGCACTTGCCTGTACCTCTTTGTCTACAGTTGGGGCCCAAATAAATTTCCCCTTCCAAGTTTGCTTATCTGTTGGTGCTGACCTTGTTCAGGCAGTTGCATATTGTGGTATCTTAGGTGTAGATTCACTGACATTGTATGAGACATAGTTTCCCAGTAGAATTCCCAGTCCCTCAGGAATGTTTGTAATGTGTTATGACCTTACAAGAAAAATCTCTGAAGAAAACAAGCCAATCAAACCTCCCCAGACACATTTCTGATAAAAGGGGCAAGTCTAGCAAAGCCTGCGGAAGATCCTTGGGAGGGATCCAGAGGAAAGCTGCACTCTAGTGGAAGGCGACAGCGGCACAATGAGTGTTGTTCACTAACACTTCCTAGGGCTAATCTATGTTTGTCTCTTAATTTTTAACCAAAAACTTTTTAAAAACATAATAAAAAAATGTAGAAAAAATGTAACACTTCTATGTAGTTGTACAATTTTATGCATTTATGTCTTGGTGTGTTACAAAACCCAGAAAGTTTTAAACTAGAGTAAAAAGAGGCAACAAGCCAAAACCTGTACAACTATCTAGGAGAGCCTTCCCATGTCTCTCAAACTCTGTCTCTAGTAGAATTTATATTTCTTATACAAATGAAGTAAAATAAGAGCCCAGCTTTATTGGAACCAGAATGACTCATTTTTGGATATGAGCAGAAAAAGGATGAAGCATATGTGTCATTTGCTGTGGCCACACATCACTCCAGAGGCTGGATGATGAAGGAGAGTTGTATGACGCTCACTGCAGCCATGATTTGAGAGCAGTGTGCAAACCAGGGCTGTAGGAAGTCAAAAAGAAATTTTCTCTGCACAGGAAGAGACTCTGCCCACCATCCATCTCATTGTGTTCACATGTAGTCTCCAAACTTCAAAACAGTTTGTGCTAAAACATGCAGCTAAGGAACAAACAGCTTGATTTGTTTAAATTTTAATTTAAACCTGGAAAATAAGCCCAACGTTTTTATTTGTTTACACCAAGTTTATGTAGTGCTGTGTAGCGCTCTGAGATGGGCTTACCTTACTCTGTAGTTTTCTATTACTGCAATGATTATTTAGTGGGCCAGGGGATGGAAGTTGAAAGAAGCAATACCAGCATATACCTGCTAGCACTTTTACACTATTTGATGCTCACTGCAATTAGGTAGCGCTCTGACTCAGACTGAAGAAACAAACCTCCACAGGATAACGTGAGCAAGCACAGGACCTACCACAACACCGATGCTTTTTGAATGGGTGGTGGATGCTAGACCAAGTGTGAAAGAATCAGGATTTGGGCTTAGCTTATGTTACTTCTCATCCCCCCACTTTGTCTACCACAATACGTTGCCTTTCAGTGGGACCATGCAAATGTTTTTAATCGCTAAAGAAGATCTCTGCCAACATAAATCCAATTAATTCACTCAGCAACCTGTGTTTTCAGGACTCTTAGCTTCAAAATATATGTTTCATAAAGAATGAAAAAAAGAAGAAATACGGAAAGTCTTTGATGACCTTTAAAATGATTTAATAAGCATTTTTCATGAAAATAACAAAATTCATAGGAAAACATTGTGTGTATGGAGCATTTTCTTGGTTAACACAATATGTATCATTTTGTTGAATTCTGATAATTACTTTAAAATATCCCTGTGGTGATACTGTCTAAAACATGTTACTTTAATGAGTGTTATATCTTTTTCCTTCTTTGCTCCACACAGCAAAAGAAATTACTTGAAAATGTTGAAATCAACACAATACAGCCTTCTTTCTTAGCTATTTTGTGTTCAGCATATGGGTTGTGTTCCAACTATAAAGGTTGGAAAATATTTTATATATAATTGCTTACCTACCGTAAGTAAACTAATCTATGAAATTGACTCATCTTTTATGGCTGGCCAAAAATATAAGAAAGATATAAGTATAAAAACTCCAAGATGCTTAACTCGGAGGAGATACATATTCAAACATCTAGCATTTTTAATGTTTAGCATGAAAAAAAGAGAGACAATTACTCTTTTCATGGACCCACTTTATCGTTAAGGTAATTACCAATTTTCAAAGCATTTTTGGACAGATAGCTTTTATCAGGAGATAAATTTTATAAGATAATACCATCTTCATCATAAACCAAAAGTGAATGAGGCCTCCAGCACCATGAGGTTCCTCAGAGGCTGAAGTCTTCTGCATGGCTCAGAGGGTCGGGGCTGATTCCCGGGTACTAGGGAAACCTGAAGTAACTCACCTAGCTGGGTTTAAAAGGAATTACTTATCCTTCGTTTCTAAAATTATGTTGTTATTTTGCATACTTGTTTCCTCAAGACTCTAAAATGAGCATTTGTTAATGAGGTATGAGATGACTTAATCATTTATGAGGTAAGCTTGACAGGCTGCCATTCAATGTAAAAAAAAAAATGCAGCAATTTGTCATTAGCAACCAAAAACTTTAAATAATTTTATCTTTTTTAAAAGTGTCTCTTATCGAAGCCTGTGATTTGTATTGTTGCAAATAAGGCTGGGAGTGTTCTTTTTTGACATACATCTTTGCACTACAGAATGATGGGTATCCTTGTTGTCAGTTAATCTTCAGTACTCTGTACATACTATTCTGAAATACTGTGGTGAAGTAAGGCCTGGCATCCTTGAGCAGGAGACTACAGAGCGGAGGATTAGCTGCATTGGAAGGGTCTTCCACATCCCAGATTTCAAGCATACTACAACCAGGTCTGAAAAGTAAAGGGCATAGATAAATATTCATATTAAACAAATTAGCATATTCAAATTAAGAAATCACTCCTAATTTCCAGAGGCTAATTAACTACTTAAAATTTGAAACCATAACTCCAGAAGCCATTAAGTTCAATAACTAGAACAAAATGAAGTGAAGCATGATACATTCCTAGGCCCAGTCAACATGTGCTGACAATAAACGTAAAAAATATGGTTAGAAATCTGTATTTGAAAATGTTTACCTCCAAAATAAAACATAATTGTTCTTGCCAATTACTGTTCTCATCCAATATAAAACTAGTTTGTAGTTGGATGAGATAAATTAAAGGAGAGCTAATTAATTAAAACCCTTTTGAGATTCATATTAAAAAAAAACAAAAAACAAAAAACAAAGTATCCTGATTCGTAGACGAACACAGACCCAAGGCAGAGACAGGGGTTCTTAGGCTAAGTTGTTTTCTTTAGCTCCTCTTTCTTGGGGGTGGCTATAAGAGTAAGCTAGGTGGTGTAACATGTACATTGGGGATAAGTCAGGCAAAACTGACATCAGATTTTTAATGTATGTTTTGTAGTATAACATATAAAATCCTGACTTTCCTGTGTAACGTTTAACTATATGTAAGGACCATCACAACAGTACAGAGATGCCCCTATCACCTAGAATGTTCTCTAGGCTCCTCTTGTGGTCAGTATTCTTCCCCAACATGGCCCAGGCACCCATGGATCCCCTTCTACACTATAGCACTTAGAATTCCATGCAGATACATCGTCTAAGCTTTTCATTTCTGGCTTCCTTATCTTAGAATGCTGTGGTTTTGATATCTTAGATATTGGTTGTCATGGTGAACTTACCCGTCAAGTTACTACAGCCTAGAAGCACTTGAAAAGACAGCCTCAACCGAGGAACTGAGGGACTGAGGGACTGAGGGACTGAGGAACTGAGGAATAGATCAATGTGGTCCATGGGGAATTGTCTTAATTGTTAATATTGATGTAAGAGGGCCCAGCCCACTGTGAGTAACATCAATCTCATGGCAGGTGGTATGAAATTCTATAAGAAATTTAGCTGAGGGGCTGGACAGATGACTCAGTAGCTAAGAGCACAAGCTGCTCTTGCAGGGGACCCATGTTCAGGTGGCTCTCAACTGCCTGTAACTCCAGTTGCCCCTTTCTAACCCCCAAATACATAGGCAAACATGTGGCACACACACATGCAGAAATAAAGTCTCTCTCTCTCTCTCTCTCTCACACACACACACACACACACACACACACACACACACACACACACATCTCTAAAAAATATAAATACAAATCTAGCTGAGCATAAGCCTGAGAGCCAATCAGCAAGCAACATCCTCTGTGGTTCTGCCACACTTCTTTGGTAGTGAAGTGAGTTCCTTGGTCTAAGGCTCTGTGTGTCATTACAAGCAGGGCTGGCTTCAGGTCTGTGAATCCTGCCTTGACTTTCCTCATGACCAACTGTGACCTGGAATTATAAGCCAAATAAACCCTTTCTTTCCACAGTTTGCTTGTTGTCTGGATATTTAATTACAAGAGCTGAAATTAGAACACTGCTTCTTCTAAGTCCTGTTGCATATTCCATCTCTAATTCCATCTTCAGCTCGTATTTTATGGCATAGAAAACTGCATTTGTTTGTTGATTCTCAAATTGCTGACAATTTGAGGTACTTGCAGTCCTGGTGACAGTGACTAACATTAATATGAGAACTCATTAGAACTAATTTTAGGCAGACACCAAACAGTGGAACTGTAGGGTGTAGTGCTAAGTGTGATATATAACTTGATAAGCAACTTCAAAATTATCTTCCAAAGTGACTTATATTTTTTCTGTTTCTACAAACAATGCATATGAGTTCAAATTGCTCTGTATTTGCACGAGCATATGGCATTACTAGTCTTCATAATGTTAGTCATTTTAGTATTGTTATGGTTTGCTCAAAATATCTTCTTTGGTAAAACATCTTACCAAATTTGCCAAATTTTGTATCATTTTTTTAGATCCAAGTTACATGAAGTTTTTTAGATCCTATCAGATGCTCAAGACTTAATAATATATAATTGGCCAATACTTATTCAATATATGGCACAGACAGGCTACAATCTGACACCTTTTTAATCTATAGCTTATTCATGATCTTTGCAATTTCACTCTTCTGTTCTATCAATTCCTCTTAAACATTACTTCTTCTTGTTACTGAGATTTGTGTGCATTTTCTGGCATTCTTGTCTTCTTTCTATTTTTATCTGGATTATTTTCCTAAATATGATTATTATCTATGTTGTATGTATCCAGAGTTCATTCTTTCCTATTGATTGGGTGATATTACATTTTCTAAATAGTCTAATAATGTGTTTAAGTAATTAATTCACCTGTTAATAGATATTTGAATTATTTTTAGGTTGAGACTACTTTTAAAAAGCTAATATGAATAATTGAAAGCAATTTTAAGTATAGATGAATGCTTTATTTTCTCTCTCTCTGTGTGTGTGTGTGTGTGTGTGTGTGTGTGTGCCATGTGTGTTTTTGTGCCTGTGGAGGCCTGACGATGATATTATATCTCCTGGAGCTTGGGTTACAGGTGACTGTGAGCTGCTTGACCTGGGTGCTGGGAACTGAACTCAGGTCTTCTGCAAGGGACGAACATGCTCTTAACTGCTGAGATTTCTCTTTGGCTCCAATAAATATATTCTTTAACCTTAAGCAAATACATACTTAGGTGTCAGGTTTCTCAGGAAACTATCATGAAGTGGTTGTAACACATTTTATTCATACAACTGATATATGGTTTGTTGTAAGTTACAATTAATATTTACTATTGATATATCTTCTGGTAAACTTTTCTGTTAATCCTAAACAGCTGTATAACCAAATCACCACACAGATTTTATTTAGTTAACCTAGCTCACAATGCTGGGCAATAGTTACTCTATCCTAAACCTCCAAGTCCTCATAGTTTCCTAACATTTAGATTTTACCCATTATACTTGCTTTTTGTGAAGTCTTAGGGCAGGTTCATTCCCCATGTCGTTCCAAGATCTCTCCCCTCCAGCTCTGCTCTCCTAGCTCTCCCCACACTTTCTCCTCCCACTCATTTCCTGCCCTCTGGCTCCTCCCCTTGCCCAACATTGTGGCTAGTTGCTTTATTTTGGCCTGTTTACGAAAAGTTGAGACCAGAGAGTGTGTGGGGGCGGAGGGGGATCAGCATTTGAATGAACAAGGTGTATACATTTCAAAGAACATTACACCAACACCTGGGTGCTGGGAACTGAACTCAGGTCCTCTTCAAGAGCCAAACATGCTCTTAACTGCTGAGATTTTTCTTTGGAGCCAATAAATTCCTTCTTTAATCTTAAGCAAATACATAGTTAGGTGTCACGTTTCTTAGGAAACTGTCATGAAGTGGTTGTAAGACATTTTATTCATACAACTGATATATGGCAGTAGTAGGTATGCCTTCACACCGAGTCAGCAACACTTGGCATAGTCAGCTTCTCTCTCAACTCTACCACTGTGGGTTTAATGTACATTTCATAAATGGATGGTAACATAAAGCATCTTTCCATATGATTCTTTACCATTCATGTATTTCTTGTTGAAGTGTCCAAGGTTTTTGTCCATTTTAGTTGAGTTATTTTCTTATTGCATTTTAAAAGTTCTTTTGTTACCTAGATAAAGTCCTTTAGTAATCACAGGAGTTGAAAATATTTTCTCTCAACTCTGACTTATCTTTTGTTATTTCTGTTTATACTGGGCTTGTTATTGTTAAGGGGATTATAGTACTAATGCACTCTCATGTCATGCTTATCATATATGGTTTATGGAATCTAGTATAAGGTCCCAGTTATTTTCTTCTATTTTTCTAGAACTTTTATATTCTTGGGTTTACAGTTAAGTTTACGATCTGTTCGAACTGCAGGCATATATGCCACCACACCACTTCCCAAGAGTTTTATTGTAAGTGGGTACTTAATTTTATCAAATGCTTTTACTGTATTTATTGGCATAATCTGAGTTTTTTTATTTTACTGATATTATGAGTTTAAGCCATTACATTCATAAGATAAACCCATTGTTTCTTTTTTTAAGATTTATTTATTATTTAAGATTATTTATTATGTTTACACACAATGCAGTGTTCTGCCTGCATATACACCTGCACACCAGAAGAGGGAACTGATGATTGTGAGCCGCCATGTGGGTGCTTGGAATTGAACTCAGGGCCTCTAGATGCTCTAGAAGCACAGCTGCTGAGCAATCTCTCCAGCCCACCCATTGTTTCTTAACAATACAGGTGAGATCAATTTACTGTTACTAGTTGAGGTGAGCAGCTCATGCAGACTGCTGTGGTGACTTCTATGCCATCTTATATAAAGTCACACACTTCCTCCTGAATATTGCTGTGATGTGTCCCACAGACTGTAGTGTGCTGTGTTCATTTTTATTCAGTTCAAACATTTTACAATTTCCCTTGTGATTTTATTCTTGACTTTTAATTTGCATGATACAAGTTACAATATTTAGACATTTTCCTAATAGCTTTCTTGTTATTAATTTCTAATTTAACTCCATGTTGTCAAGAACTATACTTACAATTGTTTTAAATATAGACATAGGTCACACACACACACATATATATATACATTCAGACTTGTATTTTATTCTGCTGTCTATGTTGCACTACATCTCAAAGAGTGTGTGTATATTAGTTTTTAGAAGAGTATCAGAGTTCTGTGTACATTTCAATTGTTTGTTATTTTTGTTTGATGTTGTATATCCTTGGAGATTTTAACACAGCTTCTGTGTCACTTGATAAGTGTTACAATGTCTAATTATTATAATACTGGTCTGTTTCTACTGCTGAACTGTCAGCCTTGGTAATACTGTGTAATTCTGTTTTATGGTCCTGAACATTCATTGTCACAATCATTCCCTCTTCCTGTTATTGTTGAACTATTCAGTAGTATGCCATTTTTCCTTTGGCATTGTTTTAATTCTATTTTATCTGATGAGAACTACCTGCCTTCCTTAATGTTAAGTAAAAAGTTTCAGTGACAGTACTCCATTACCTACCGCCTCATTTTAAACTTTGTTTTTACATTTTAGTGGGTTTTTAAAAATAGATTGTATAGAAATATTACACATATCTTTTATGGGGCAGTACAACTGAATTCTTTCCAGTAAATAAATATTTATATTACCATTTATTTTTTGTGCTATTATTGTCATGTGTAGTACTCAAACTCAAAAACATGTAAATATTTTCTTTTATTTAACAGAATTTTAAAAGATTCTCGTAAATGAACAACACAGGGATTAACATGTGCACACTCTGAGGCTCACTGCTGTTATCTGCATGTGAGCTCTCACTGGGAATAATTTCTTGACAACTTAGAGAACTCTAGGGCTTCTCACTGTGAAGCCACTCAGACTCTTCATCGACCCGAACACGTAGGCTGACCCTCATGTACAGGCAGAGTGTCACTGAACATAGAACCCTCGACTTTTTACTCATTCCAGCATAAGGTTTGGGAAGTCAGATGTCTGTCATGGTGTGCTTCCTTCTCTTCAAGACAACTCTCTACCCTACCTTTCTGTTCCCTGCAGTGTGCCTTGCTCTGGTTCTCTCTGGAAGAGCTCTCAGTTGGTGGCTTTCTCAAGCCTCACAGACTTGGGCATTTCTTCAGTTATTTTCCATTACTCTTCTTCTCATTCTTTCTGGTGCTTTAACTGAGGGCTCATGCTCTGTTCCAGCTGTTCCCCTCATGGTTAATTACTTAATTATGTTGCTCAGATCTTTGTGATTTTTCCTTAAAAAACAATTTAGATAAGTCCTGTTCAGAGTGGTTGCTTTTTCTTGATCTACTTCAAATTCAGATTGTTTTTCTTGTATCAAAAGTTAACTTTTAAATGTCTCACTTGAACTTGAGAGTTCACCTCTAGAGTTTCCAAATGAGGATATTGAGATTCTATCTTTCCACTGGCTGGTGGTGGGTTCTCCTTTACTTCGTATCCCATTTTGTTGTTTCTAGAACAGAAGTCAGGGCCTTGTACATACCAGGCAAGTGCTAAACCCTGGGACTGTATCCCTAGCCTTGTTTATTATTGATCCTTTGAATAATGAATACATCCTCTCTACATCAGTGGTTCTCAACCTTCCTAATGATGCACCTGTTCAGTACAGTTTCTCATTCTGTGGTGGCCCCAAGCATAGCATTATTTTTGTTGCTATTTCATAACTGTAATTTTGCTATAGTTATAAACTGTAATGTAGATATTTGATATGGGGGATAGCTGATACGGAGGAGGTAAGTGACCTCCGTGAAAGGTCACTTACCCACAGTGGTCACAACCCACAGATTGATTCAGCTCTAAACGCTGAATCAAATACCTGGATATTTTAGTTTCTGCTAAATGTCTGTTTTCAGAGTTTTGGTCCTATTTTTCCAGGGTGCATGACTGATAAGTTTGTGAAAATAGGGCACTACAGATAATGCATTCTAATGACAGTGTCATCTGTTTAGATCTCTTTTTTAAAATTTTTTATTAATTACACTTTATTCATTTTGTATCCCCCCATAAGCTCCTCCCTCCTCCCCTCCAGATCCCAACCTCCCTCCCCTTTCTGCATGCATGCCCCTCCCAAAGTCCACTGATAGGGGAGGTTCTCCTCTCCTTTCTGATCTTAGTCTATCAGTTCTCGTCAAAAGTGGCTGCATTGTCCTCTTCTGTGGCCTGGTAGGGCTGCTCCCCCCTCAGGGGGAGGTGATCAAAGAGCAGGCCAATCAGATTATGTCAGAGGCAGTCCCTCTTCCCATTACTAGGTAACCCACTTGGACACTGAACTGCCATGGGCTACATCTGTGCAGGGGTTCTAGGTTATCTCCATAAATAGTCCTTGGTTGGAGTATGAGTCTCTGGGAAGTTCCCTGTGTTCAAATTTTCTTGTTCTGTTGCTCTCCTTGTGGAGTTCCTGTCCTCTCCAGCTCTTACTATTTCCCACTTCTTACTTAAAGTTCCATTCACTCTGCCTGGCAGTTGGCCATCAGGCTCAGCATCTGCTTTGATAGTCTGCAGGGCAGAGGCTTTCAGAGGCAGGTTCCTAGTTTGTTTCCTGTTTTCTTCTTCTGGCTTTCAGAGGCCCTCTGTAGCAGGTTTCTAGGTTGTTTCCTATTTTCTTTTTCTTCTGATGTCTATCCTCTTTGCCTTTCAGGTGGGGATTGAACATTTTAGTTAGGGTCCTCTCTCTTGCTTGGTTTCTTTAGATGCATAAATTTTAGTGGGTTTGTCCTACGTTGTATGTCTATATGAGTGAGTATATACCATGTGTGTCTTTTTGCTTCTGGGACAACTCACTCAGGATGATCCTTTCCAGGTCCCACCATTTACCTGCAAATTTCATGATTTCCTTATTTTTCATTGCTGAGTAATATTCCATTGTATAGATGTACCACAGTTTCTGCATCAATTCTTCAGTTGAGGGGCATGTGGGTTGTTTCCAGCTTCTGGCTATTACAAATAAAGCTGCTACAAACATGGTTCAGCAAATGTCCTTTTTGTGTACTTGCGCCTCTTTTGGGTATATGCCTAGGAGTGGTATGGCTGGATCTTGAGGAAGCGCTATTCCTAGTTGTCTGAGAAAGCGCCAGATTGATTTCCAGAGTGGTTGTACCAGTTTACTTCCTACCAGCAGTGGAGAAGGGTTCCCCTTTCTCCACAACCTCTCCAGCATGTGTTGTCACTTGAGTTTTGATCAAAGACCTCAACATAAAACCAGACACATTACATCGGCTAGAAAAAAACGTGGGGAGTACCCTAGAACTCATTGGTACAGGAGAAAACTTCCTGAACAGAACACCAACAGCACAGGCTCTAAGAGCAACAATCAATAAATGGGACCTCATGAAACTGAAAAGCTTCTGTAAAGCAAAGGACACCGTCATCAAAACAAAACGACTGCCTACAGATTGGGAAAGAATCATCACCAACCCTTTATCTGACAGAGGACTCATATCCAGTATTTATAAAGAACTAAACAAGCTAAAAAGCAGCAAATCAAGTAATCCAATTAAAAAAAAATGGGGAACAGAGCTAAACAGAGAACTCTCTGTAGAGGAATATCGAATGGCAGAGAAGCACTTAAAGAAATGCACAACCTCATTAGCCATCAGGGAAATGCAAATCAAAACAACCCTGAGATTTCACCTCACACCCATGTTTAGATCTCTTGAAGTTGTTGTTATAGACACTTTACTTGCCTAGATCTGTTGATATTTCTACCCAGAAATCTAAACAATATCCCAAAGAAATCCACTGAACACATTATTTTTTTGATTTTGGAAATGCAAATCTCAAAAAAATGTTTTTACTTATTATGCCATCTCTAGTTAAAAGAAAAATCTAAGCCTTATATATCCAATATAGCTGAGTTACAGTAGCAGATATACTTCACTTATGCTTCAGGCATAAAAATAATTTGAAAAACTATGGAATTTATTTGTAGTAGAGATTTTAACCTGTCTTAACCTTACATGATGGATGCCTGTACCCAAACAACATCTTGCTTCCTTAATCTTTACTTAGTTTTTGTTTTTACATACCAGTGAAAAGTAAATTTAAAAGGTAATATAAAAATTAAGATATTAAAATCTAATTTTAATAGCTAGTATGAGAAAATAGTATAATTTAACTTCTCTAGTTGAACTTATTTCCCATATGCAATGGTAACATTTTAATGGATAGATCTAAAATACAAAGCCTTAGAGAATCAGGACGTCTTCAGAGCAGCATATAATAAAGAAGCATTTGTTGATTCACGTTACATTGTATTAAACATAATACTATTGATACTCACTTCGTTCTCACAACACACCATGCCTCTTCTAGAACATAATAATTCACATGTAATTCCAATAATTTATCTCTCACTTCTGCTGCAGATTTTCGGCTATATGCAGAATAAACTATTTTTGTTCGAGCCCTTTAAATTTAAACAATAATTACAGATTTTAAAATAAATAACAATAATTTTAAGAAAATTTGCTAGCAAATTGATATCCTGACTCTCAATGGGTATAAAATGGATATGACCACAAATATAAATAGATGGTTTTCATACATCTCTTTATATTTTCAATGTGCTGAATCTTAAAGCAGTTTGAAACTTGTTTTATCTGAGTTTATTTAGAGCTGTACTTGGTGTCAGGATGCTAATTCAGGCTGTAAACTTTACTTCATATAATCCACAAGAGAATATGTTAATAGAATATAGTCCCCTAGAAGCTGAGGCTTGCGACAATACGGATATCAGTAGATTATTTCCCCTCTAGAAACTAAGAATCACATAAATTGAGGTGGATTACTGCCAAGGGAGTATTTCACAGAGGGCATCTAGAATACTACTATGGATAGGTAAAACACTATATAAAAATGTGAAATGCCAGGATGGTCATTCAAATGTGGCACAATAGAAGTTTGGGCCATAAGTTGGAGCTCTTATAAAATCCTGAGCAAACTAAATGTTGTTTAGGATGCTTAGGCACCAAAACCAGACAGAAAATTTTGAATAAATTAAAATTATCTTCTAACTGCATGCTAAAAGTAAAGAGAAAAAGATTTCCTTTACAAATTACAAAAGATTTCTTTTACAAAAGATCAAAATAATTTTTCATACCTGCTGTACTGGGGTGAAGACCTGAATTCAGGTCCCCTACACCCAAAGCCAGTAATATCAGCTCCCATCTGTGTCCCAAGAACAGGCAGAATGGGAGACAGGCAGATCCCAGAAACTCACTGGTCAGCCTAGCTGAACTCTATCTACATTAAATGACTTTTCTTCACCATTGAGCTCTGGCTCCCAGACATGCACACACAGACACAGGTAAACCAAAGTTTTAGTCATCAGAGGAACACAGAATTTTCACAATCAGGTAGAAAGTCCCCTAATTTTTAAAAACATTGATTTTTGACAGAGAAGCCCAATTTATTTATTATTTTTAACCTTTTTGTGGGGAAATAAACCAGCCATTTGATCAATCAGAAGGATCTGAACTATTTCTTAAATCAGGCAGAGAAACTAATGAAGTTGAGTGAGGCTGGCAAAGTATGACTGAGAATCAAACCTATTTGACCTTTTTTGACTTCTACTTTAGAGTCTTATGTCCCCCTCCCACTCTACACCCTGTGTGTATATCTGTCTGTGTCTGTCTGTCTGTCTGTCTCTCTCACACACAAAAATAATATCCTATACACGTGAACAATTTTTTGTATGTATGTGAGTGTGGCTCATGTATGTACTTGTGTGGGTGTGAGCATGTGTATGTGCATGTCTGTCAACCAGAGGGCAATGGTGGATGTCTTTCTTGCTTACTCTCCACCTTACTTTTTAAGACAAGGTCTTTCTTTGACGATAGAGTTCAGCTGGGCTGGCCAGTGAGTGTCTGGAAGCTGTCTGTCTCCAGTCATGCCTGCTCTAGGGTCACAGATGTGAGCCATTGTTGTTGGTTTTGCATGCACAGGACCTAAATTCAGATCTTCATCCCAGTGTGGCAGGCTCCACTGATTAAAGCATCTCTCCAGCTCTACAATACTACTTTGCTCATGCTTGATTCAGATTTGAGTTTCTATTGAATCTATTTCAGAAGAAATTGGAACCTTTAGTCATTGTTATCATTTTTGTTTGTTTGAGACAAGGTTTTACTCTGTAGTTTAGGTTGGCCTAGAACTCACTGTGTAGTTGGAACTAAAGGTTCCAACTAAAGGTTGGAAAATTGGAACCTTTAGTCATTGTTATCATTTTTGTTTGTTTGAGACAAGGTTTTACTCTGTGGTTTAGGTTGGCCTAGAACTCACTGTGCAAGGCCAGGCTTGAACTCACAGCAGTCCTCATGTTTTGGTTTCCTAAGTGCTGAAATTATAGTTGTGCCTTCCATACACAGCTTCATTATACAGCTTTGCAACTTCCAGAAATGCATATAAAGATGCTTATGTGAATATATATTCATGTTTATGTGCATATGAACAAGCATATGTGTGTGTGTAAACAAACACATTTTTCTTTTTCTAAGAGACAGTGGCAAGCAGCAGAAATTCTACCCAGTGATGGCAGGACACTGCTCACCTCAAGTCTGCATCCTCATAGTGTGGGTGGTTCACAATTGGATGCAGTGTAGACAGCTTGATGCTTGCCATTGTAGGCATGGCACCTGCAAAGACAGCATCTGGGAAACAAGATAAGATTTTTTTAATTTTAATTTTATTTTTAATAATTACAGTTTATTCACTTTGTATCCCAGCTGTAGCTCCCTCCCCTACCCCCTCCCAATTCCCCCTCCCTCCCTCTTCTTCTCCTATGCCCTTCTCCCAATCCAATAATAGGGGTGGTCCTCCTCCCCTTCCATCTGACCCTAGCCTATCAGGTCTCATCAGGACTGGCTGCATTGTCTTCCTCTGTGGCCTGGTAAGGATGCTCCACCCCCCTCATGGGGAGGTGATCAAAGAGCCAGCCCCTGAGTTTATGCCAGAGACAGACCCCTTCCCCTAACTAGGGTACCCACTTGGACACCAAACTGCCATGGGCTACATCTGTACATGGGTTCTAGGTTATCTCCATGAATGGTCCTTGGTTGAAATATCAGTCTCACAAAAGACCCCTTGCCCATATTTTTTGGTTCTGTTTCTCTCCTTGTGAAGCTCCTGTCTCCTCCAGGTCTTTATATTTCCTCCTTCTTTCATAAGATTCCCTGCACTCTGCCCAAAGTTTGGCTATGAGTCTCAGCATATATTTTGACAGAAAATCATGAATTTTGCAGGCAAATGGTGGGATCTAGAATAGCTCATCTTGAGTGTGGTATCCCAGAAGCAAAAAGACACACATGGTATATATTCACTTATAAGTGGATATTAGACATGTAATATAGGATAATGATACTAAAATCTGTACACCTAAGAAAGCTAATCACGAAGGAGAACGCTGCGTAAGAACCTCAATCTTCATTCAGAAAGGCAAACGGGATGGACATTGGAAGAGGGAGAAAACAGGGAACAGGACAGGAGCCTATCAGAGAGGGCCTTTGAAAGACTCTACCCACAATTTCTGTATCCATTCCTCCATTGATGGACATCTGACACAATGGAATACTACTCAGCAATCAAAAAGGAGGAAATCATGAAATTTGCAGGCAAGTGGTGGGATCTAGAAAAGATCATTCTGAGTGAAGTATCCCAGAAGGAGAAAGACAAACTTGGTATATACTCGCTTATATAGCCCTACAAGACATGATAAACATAATGAAATCTACACACCTAAAGAAGATAATCAAGAAAGTGGACACAGGCGAAGGTGATTAATCCTCATTTAGAAAGACAAATGGGATGTGCATTGAACTTATGACAGGAGTCTACCACAAAAGGCATCTGAAAGACTCTACCTAGCAGTGTTTCAAAGCAGACACTAAGACTCATAACCAAACCCTCGGCAGAGTGCAAGGAATCATATGAAAGAAGGGAAGTTAGTATAATATGGAAAGGATAGGAGCTCGACAAGGACCAAATATATCTGGGCACAGGGTCTTTTCTGAGACTGACACTCAACCAAGGACCATCTATGGATATAACCTAGAACTTCTGCTCGGATGTGGCCTGTGGTAGCTCAGTAACCAAGTAGTTTTCCAAAGTAAGGGGAACACGGACTATTTCTAACAGGATCTCAAGGGCAGGCTGTTTGACACACCCCCTCCAGGGGAGGAGCAGTCTGTTAGGCCACAGAGGAGGACTTTGCAGCCAGCCCTGAAGATACCTGATAAAACAGGGCCAGATGAAAGGGGAAGAGGTCCTCCCCTATCAGGGGACTTGGAAAGGGGCAGGAAGGAGACCAGGGAGGGAGTGTGGGGTTGGGGAGGGAATGAGGGAGCGGGATACAGCTGGGACACAGAGTTAACAAAATGTAACTAAAAAGAAAAATAAAATTAAAAAAAAAAAAGAAAGACTCTACCCAGCAGGGTATCAAAACATTTATTAATAAAACATTTCAAAGAAAAGAAAAAGTTCAGTGTGCCCTCACATAATGGCTCCTAGTATAAATATTTTATTCTTTGTCTTCTGTTATATTTAAGCTTTTCTTCACTGGTGCTAGAAGCTATGCATAATACTCCAAATATTTTTTTTTGATTTAGGTATTTATTTGGAGTGTCTATGTGTTTGTGTTTGTGTGCTGTGCATGTATGAACACACCCATGTACTTTGTGGAGCACATGTAAAGTTAGAAAAACAACCGCTGCAAATTTATTTTATGCTATCATATGAAGCCTAGGACTTTAAATCAAGTCCTCAGGTTTGGCAGCAAGTGACTTTACCTACTGAGCTATCTCACTCACTTCATGCACGTTTTTTAATATCCAGTGACATGGTTTGTAGGACAACTCATTGAATTTTGTGGTCTTCTTACTGTGTAGATAAATATGTTCAGAAATACAGCAAAGTTAAGTAACCTGACAAGGCTATACAGTTGAAATATTTCCAAATTCACCCTAACTACTTCGCCAAAGCTTCCTGGTACCCTCTAAAGACTAGTACTACAGGCAGGAAACTAGAAACTAGACTGTCTTACTATGAACCATGTAAAAGGCTGATGTCATAGTATATTTTTCAAATGATTTTTATGATTTATAATCATGTGGATTTGTTAGAAGAAAATGTTGTCCTTCAGTATTTCAACTTTGTGGACTAAGACACAGCTCAGTGGCTAAGAGCACCTACTTCTCTCCAGAGGAGTCTGGATTAGTTCCTAGTACTCACGTGGATGCTCGGAACATCTCTAGTTCCAGGGTATTAGATATCTAGTCTGACCTAGGCAGGCTCCTGAATGCATGTGATGCACATATACACAAAGAAAATAAAGGGTTTTGGAATCTTAGTGATTAAGTTGGTTAGTTGTCGTTTACATCTTTATTGTTTCTCAAAGTCAAAGACCAAAAGCTTAACTGTTGACATTTTAATATAATGTTTGTATAATTGTTAAGATCATTTTTATTCATAAAAATTGGCCACAAACATATGCCGTTTTATTTAGTTCTACTGAAATGACTATTTTTTTTTCAAAATTTAATTAAGCATTCTAAATACGACTTCACAAAAACATGTCAATAAATACTAAGGACATAGAACAGTGCAGAGTGTCAATTTCATGTTTTAGAGATGGAGTGGCATCCTGGAACTTCCAGCATCCTAAGAGAGTAGCATGGCTAGATCTGATAAAAGATCACAACTCAATATTGAAGTATAATTTCTACTGAATGTGTATTACTCTAAGACCATTGTAAAGTAAAACAATTGAAAGGAAAATTACTGTAAGTCAGGATTGTGTACACACTCAAACACTTGCTTCTCACACACATACATACAGAAAGACATTCACACACAAATGCATATATATATATACACACACACACACATATTTGTGTGTGTATATACACACATAAATGCATATATGTGTGTATATATTTATACACACACACACATATATATATACACACACACACACACATAAACATGCAGATGGAATGCTTAGTTCTGTATGACAAACACATAAATGTACTTTATTGTTATATATGTATGACAGCTCACCTGGCCTGGTGTTGTATCTGATCCAGTGTATGAGCTCTTCCTGAGGCAAGTTAGTAAACTCTCCCATAATGCTCCACTGGTTATGGAGGTTTGCCCAACCTTGTATTGACATCATTGTCAGAATACCGAAGACAACATTCTCAAAATGAACTCTGCAAAAAAGCCAGCCAAAGAGCTGAAATACAAAAACCATTTATTTATATTTCTTATATGAAGAGTACTATCGGATCAAAAGTACATTCTCACCTTCCCACTGAATCGAAACCCTTGATCTCAGTACACAAACACGGAATGCTCATCTGCTGCTTGCAAACAGCCCAATGCTGGAGTTACTAGACCTGGTTATAAATAAATTTTCTGTGTTTTTGAAAGAATTGGGTGTCTTTCCAGGACTGACCTGCAGCCAGACAATAGGATTAGTGAACTACAACTTCAAATATGCTAAGTATCTAACTATGCTAAATATGCTAAGATGTTAAATATCTTTTAACATTTGGCTGGGACTTGAGGACTTGAATAACCAGAGGAAACCCAACTAGCACTGACACGTATGTTCCTCTCAGGAAAATTGCTGCTAAATTGTCAAAACTGAACAAGGCGATTCTGGATGTACTGAATGTCTGTCTAGTTTATGAAGCTAGCTAGCTAGCTAGTTATATATCTATTAACTATAGTAAGGAATGCCAGAATGGACTGTTTTTTGTTGTTGTTGTTGTTGTTTTTGTTTGTTTGTTTAGGTATTCTCTTATCCAAGAGGAAACACTCTGGATCTCCTCAGCACTGGAAATGTGATGCTAAGGAGGTGAGGGGAGGGGCAACACATGGTCCTGAGACACCTGCAGGGACTTAAATGCTAAAGAGCTGTTTTTTTAGACAAGATGATAACAGCGGGGGAGGAATGCCCAAGCACTCACTGCAGAAACATCACCCAGAGTCTATCGGCATTTTTCCTAGCAATTTTCCTGCTAACGGTGAATCATCAGCTAACATTTAACATCTTCGAACAGAGTTCCCTTAAAGCACACCAGGCTTTCGTACTTTGGGTTCCACAGCAAGGCCGCAGCAGCTCTGAGGCAGTCACTTTACTTGTCACAGTAATACTCAGGTGGCTTACCCGTCGAGAGCAGATCAAGGAAGCCATAACACACATGTGGGGTGTCAAAAACAGCTTCAACCGCATGATTAAAATGGCAAGAGCTGTGAATGCCAGCAACTGCAAGGTGTGAAAAATCAACTGCAAAACACAAAACAGTGACCTTTGCACTTTATACATTTTTAAATTAATAGATAAAAAAAATAAAATGTCTTAAATCTTCTTAGACAGGAAGACAGAGCTCTCAAGGCAAACATTAAACCTGTTAATGCATGCATCTGTCCATTCAACTAAGATTTAATAATATAATCCTCTCTCCCTGGAATTAGACTGAGCAATTCAGCTAGAAGCCCAAGTAATTTTGTTCCCCTCAGGCTCACACCTGAGCACATCTGGTTAGAAAGTCACTGAACAGATAAGCTGCAATAGGTTAGACAGTAATGAGGACAATGGGCTAGAAGATGGAGGTGGAGAAAGAGTCGGGCAGCACAGAGGTTGTGAAAGGCCCCAGTGGAGACACTGTCATAAGGAAGGTCAACACAGTCAGCCTCACTAAAAACATGACATCTGGGAAAGGATTTGAACACAAAAGGGAGGAAGGAAGGAAAACAAAATGCAAAAAGCTTCATATATGAACGTGTGTTTCGGTTAAGAGAAGTCATCTCAGCAATAAGCCATACTGCTTTCCAAGTGTAATTGTCTAAGCATTTGTAGTAATCCATACTCTGCCCTAGCTTAACAAAGCTGAGTCCTACAGGGAAAAGATTTCAAATAAAATCTTCCTAATTGAGATATTATGAAACAAACTTTAACTGGTACACCCAAAAGTAAATGACAGCTAAGTATTTATATATCTGAATTCACCGATATTAAACTAAATTCCAGATATGTAGTATTTTCATTTATCAAAAGGCAATTAGTCAGCCTGCATTTTAGAATAAAATGAGAAAAAAAAAACTTCAATATTAAAATGATCAATTTCTGTAATTCTGAACCACCAAGATCCCAGAGAACAGCCAATTACTTTGACTTACACTTTACTGAGGGAATAGTCAAAACACACTGGAGGATATTTTAACCCCTTGAATATAAAATTTGATGACCAATATAAAAGAACAAATAAAAGACATGTGGCCATCAAAACATATTATTTAAAGATTCTCTAATGGAATGAAGGGGGTTTTAGGATACATACTTGTGTATGCATGAAATAATAGTCTGTATACTAACTAAATAAATAAAATAAAAACCCATGTATCTCTACTATATGGTATAGGAGGTGTGAGAAGGATGCTATAGAAACACAACAAAAAGTAAGTAGGTTACTTCTGGTATTTTTTTTTTTTCTGAATTTTCTGAGTTGGCTTCCAAATTCTTATTAGCATTCAATTGTGAGCTTGGACTGAAAAAGAAGGATCAGCTTAAATGATTACCACTGCCCCAAAGTCAAGCTACAGGAAGGTTACACCTTCATGAATTATCCTTCAAGTAGATTTAACACATAAGTCTACCAAGAATGAGAGCTTTTACCTCACCGTTTTCAAGGAGCTGTTTTCTGGAAGAAAATAAAAATGATCTATTTACTGAATGTCCATCACAATATTGTTACATAAGAACAAATCATTTATGTTCTTCTTGGATTTTAAATTCTTGATTCTTCCTAAACTGTGAAGTACAAAATTTAAAACTCTATATACACCAGTAAGATTACAGAGTTTCAAAGGCATAATTCACCTTCATTCTACATATGGTATATGAAACAGCTGATTTTTTTATTAAGTTAAAATATTATTAATCCCTAGAGACTGTGCCTCTGGAATGACATACTTCTGCTTAAATATGTAAGCTATCTACTATAAATAAAGTGATTTCAATGACTATATTTGACATTTGACTTGTTTTTAGTTTTTTGCAGTTATAAACTACATGAATATTTTATACATAACTTGGTAAATATCTCTAAGGCATATAAATATTTTACTTCTTGACAAGCAATTCCAATTTACTGAATACCTACAGTAAATTATAGTGTTCTAAATACTACATAGTTAATATACTATGAATAGTATATAAATAATTTTTATGTTCAAGGATTTTATAGTAATCTGATACATGAATAAAAATACCTATATTATTTTTCTGCAGAAAAGACCGTGCTTTACAAATGGCTTTACAGAAAGGAGCATTCTAGGAGAGAGAAGTTAGATTGTGATTGGAAGAAATCCACAAGTGCGGATATTAAAAAGTGGCCATAGAAGGTCTGTCAGAAGGTAGTAGAGGTATTGAGTTTCTCTGATTCCCCTGTACAGGTTTTCCCACCTATGCAGCCAGGGAATGAAGCATCCCTGCATCCTGAGCTCTTCCAATCACAAAACAATCCTGCATGGAGTAAAGGACCTGACAGCTATGGAATTATTTTATATTCACCAGGGACCACCCAACTGGTGTGCATAAACCTGGTAGCCAATTTATTATATGAACAAACAAAATACAAGTAACATGAAAAGGAATTACAGAGAGACCTCCTTGGAAACACTAATTCGGTAAATGTAAGCCAGTGTTAAAGGCGGCTGTTAACATTTTTCCTCAGAAACCTTTGAGAGGGTAACCCTTCTACATAATTAAATGAGCTACAATGGAAAGAAGCTTTTCAAAATTCTGGAATAAAGATGTTTACCCAATGTAAAAATTATAAACTCAGGTTGAAAATTAGAATTTACACAGCTGATGTTTGGAAAGTTGGGAAATTCAGACACAGAATTGTCTAAGAACACAAGGGTTGGGGGAGAGATAAGGTGATTAAAACAGCACTAGGCCTTCCAGAAAGGCCAGCTCGTACAAAAGAATACAAAATGAATAAGACAGCATCAGTTTCCTGAGTTGGAGAAGTATGAGGATTTTCATCCTAAAAGAGCCAGTGAGCTACCAACAGTCACTGCACATTTACATACAAACAAAGCTTACATAGTAAATTTATTGAAAGAAAAGCTATATAGTTTTTGTTATAATATTCAATAATAGAAAAGAAGCAGAATGTATGAATTATTAAATAAAACTGGGAGTAGTGGAAAATGCCTTTAATCACAGCATTTCTGAGAATAAAACAGGAAGATATCTGAGAGTTCCAGGCCAGCCAGGGCTACATAGTGAGACTATGTCAAAAAACAAAACAAAACAAAAACAAAAACAACAACCAAAAACAGAAACAAAACAAAATGATTACTAAAACTCATCAATAAACAATTTATCAACCATGTGAAAAGACAAACTACATTTTTCACATAAAAAAAAAAACACCCAGTCTGGGCCTGATGATGCTTCCTTTAATCCCAGTTATTGGAAGGCAGAAGGGAGTAGATCTCTTACGAGACTGAACCTTGCCTGGTCTACATAGTGAGTTCCAGGTCAGCCAGAACTACACAGTGAGACCCTATTTCAAAAACCATAAAGAAAAAAGAAAACATTAAGAAATTATGCCATTTCTAAGTTCTTTCTTATTGTTTCTTGTATTTAACTCTTCCTCTTGGAATCACAGAATACATGTCATGTCCATTGTAACATGTATTCTATGACTCCAGGAGGAAGAATTAAATACAAGAAACAATAAAGAGCAAATAAACCAGAAAATATGAAATATAAAATGTCTAGTGACTTAATTAAAATGGTTTGAGACTTCTTCAATCAGAATAGCTTCTGGAACTTCCAAAAAATGAAGTTTTCATAGCCAGGTGTGGTGGTGTATGCCTTTAATCCCAGTACTCAGGGAGGTAGAAGCAGGCGGATGGCTATGAGTTCCAGGTCAGCCTGGTCTACAAAGCAAGTCCAGGACAGCTAAGCTACACAAAGAAACCCTGTCTTGGCAGAAAAAAAAAAAAAAAAAAACCTTCAGATCCTCTTAGCATCACATGGGAGATGAGCTTGTGTGAGTAAGATGTCCTGTAATACTTGTGGTGTGAATCAAGCAGATTCCCACAGCCAAAGCACTGGCATTGTTCTCAGTTGCAGTGTACTCTAGCTCTGTGGCTGCCAGGTTTGGGTATGGAGATTATCTACACAGCATCAGTGAATAATGGTGCCTTCTGTGGGATGGTGTTAAGTGCTAGGGAACCTGTGGGAGGTGGAAGGTGGTGGGAGTGCTTTGGTTTGGATATGAAATATCTCCTATGGGCTCATGGTGTTGGATCACTTAGTCTTCAATGGGAGGAACAGTTATAGGAGGGGTGTGGATTCACTGGGAGAAGTGGGGGTGGGCTGGGAGAGTTCCTAACCCCTCACTTCTTCCCGTCTATCCTATCCTCCTTGACTGTAGTGCAATATGATCACCTGTCTCCCTTATCTGCTGCCTGAACTCAATGTAAGCTGAAATAAAACATACTCCTTTAATTTGATTTTAGCCATGTTTGTTTTGTCACAGCAATGAGAAAAGTAGAATGGAGAATTGCTACAAAAACAAAATAAAAAAGAACAAAACAGAACAACAACAACAACAAAATGGCACTCCTGATGTGACAAGCCTAATCATGTGATTCTTAGGCCTTTGCAACTAGACAGGAGAAATGTGGAGAACATAGGAATTTCACACTAGGAAAGCCAATGAATGCTACAGACAGAACTTAATCAGCTGACACTGATGGAAATTTGGGAAAAGAGGAAAACTGAAAGAAATGCCAACATCAGCCTGGATCATTAAGTTCCAGAAAGGAACAAAGACTGCTGAGAACAAGAACGGAGGCTGCTCATATTCTGGCCTAGAATCTGAGTGTTTTTGTCCACATCCTGAGACTTTGAGGGATTTATTTCCAAGACAAACATGGTAGGAATAAGGAACCAATTATTTTAAGTTGTCCTGTAACCTCCACAAGCATATCATGGTACACACAAACCCACACACGCACACACACACAGCTGCCCATGCAACACAATATACAATAAATAACTAATATATAGTAAATATAATAAAAATTTAAAAATTCATTTGATAGGGGACTATTCTGAGAGTGTATCTAAATGTGGAATGATTAAGAACAACCACCTCAGGAAGTTTTTTTCTCAGGTTCAACTCAGAGACCCCACCAGAACTATGGTACCGGGCGAAGGCTAGACTCTGAGCTGCAATAGGACTTTTTAGGTTCATTCACCTGGTATTGGTTTTACAGGAATGGAAGATTCAATTTAAAGACATATGAAGGCTATACCAAGGTTCCTGAAATCTGCTGAAGCCGGGAAATGGGTGGAAGGATTAAAGACTCCTCAAGAATGTCTTGGGAGATCAATGCGTTAGAACACAAAGGTAAGCCTAAATTGCAATGGACACCATGGAATGTCAGAGATGCTAGCATCAAAAGAAATCTGCTGAGGAAATGCAGGCATGAATTGGAGTTGGGACAAGAGAGAGCATATGTGTGCTATCAAAAGTAGAGCTTTAGAGCTACTCATAATCTTTGGGACCCAAAGGGTTCCGTAATGAGCACCACCTGCCACACACAGAACTTCAGGGCTTGATATTTCTGTCCGGCTTTGGCTAAGTCTTTGTTATGATCCCACTCCTCAGCTTTTAATGGGGCTTTTTATTCTGTGACAGTTTCTATTGGACACATGTAACTTGTAAAGAAGTTGCCTAAGTCTCAGGTGACATTTTGCACTTGCACTTTATTGTTCGGACTACTAAAATCTACAAAGAGATGTGTAGTTGGATAAACTTTGAACTATGAAACTCCATGAGCTCTGGAAGGTAAGCAGGGGTAGGATGTTGTTGTTTGAATGTGAAATGTCCCCCATAAGCTCATGTGTTTAAATACCCATTCTATTGCCACTAGTGATATTTTGGAAGAGTGCAGAACCTTTAGACTTTGAAGCCTTACTAGAGGAAATAAATTAATAGTGGTGAGTTTAGGAGTTTTCCAGGGATGGTCCCACTTCCTGTGTGTAGTCTCCTGATTCCAGATGCAATGCTTGTTCTGCTGCCAACCTCTCTCTGCTTCTACACACACTAGTCCCTCAAACTGTAAGCCAAAAGAAAGCCTTTCTGCCTTACATTGCTTCTCTAAGATATTTTTTGTTTGTCTTGGGTTGTGTTTTGTTTTAACACAGCAGGAAGAAAAGTAATCAACAGAGAGAGGTATCAGGTCATTGTAGGCATACACTAGTTCTCATGGGACTCCTGCTGATCCTCAAGAGTTGCTTTTTTTGCCTGCAAATCTCATGATTTCCTTTTTTTTTAATAGCTGAGTATCAGGCAAATGGATGGAACTAGAAAATATCATCCTGGGTGAGGTAACCAGAAACAGAACGACACACATGTAATATACTCACTTATAAGCAGATATTAGCCATACACTATAGGATAACCATACTATAATCTACAAACCTAAAGAAAAGAAGCTAAACAACAAGGGGGACCTTAGGGAAGAAGCTTAAATTTCATTTAGAATGGCAAACAGGATAGATACTGGAAGTGGTGGAAGAGAGGGAACAGAATGGGAGCCTACTATAGAGGATCCTCTGAAAGGTTCCACCTAAAAGGGTATCAAAGTAGATGGTGAGACTTACAGCCAA